AAGGGTAAATGGGATCCTGAATCAACTGGGAATAAGTCCTGTTGCATAACTGCTGGAGGGGTAGTCAGCCAGGCCCACCAGGCACACCAGGTCAGTGATGCCTTGTCCCTGCAGAAACAGCAGGGTACCAGCAGAGCTTGAGAAAGGGAAAAGCAAATCTAGTGTTAGGCTGAAATTGTCAGTATTTAAATTATCACCTTGGGGCTGGGGATTTAGCTCAGCAACAAAGCGCCTGCCTGGCAAGCGCAAGGTTGTGAGTTCGGTTCCCTGTACCGGAGAAAAACAAACAAACAAACAAACAAATAATCACCTTAAAAAATTCTGGTTTTGCCGGGCATGGTGGCACACACGTGTAATCCCAGCACTCAGGAGGCTGAGGCAGGAGGGCTGCCATGAGTTTAAGGCCAGCCTGGACTCCATAGGGAGTTTAAGGCCAGGCTGAGCTCCGTAATGAGACCCTGTCTCAGAGAGACAGAGGGAGGAAAGAAGGAGCGGGGAGGTGATCAGAGTTGCTGTGGAGCACCACTGCAACTGTGTGGGTGCACGTGGAGTCAGGGTTGGGATGAGACTGGCTTTGGGTGTCCTTGCAGTGATTCAAGGAGGAGAAATTGGAGGTAAAGGGCGAGACGAGTGGGTGGGGGGTGGCGCGGGGCCGCGGCACAGCTCAGTGGTGGAGCACGCGCTCGCACCCGAGGCCCTGGGCTCCATCCTCACTGGAGAAAAGAAGGGGTGGGGTAGGTCAGGAGAGGCAGGCTGCGCAGGCCCCGGTGCTGACTGGAAGTGGGGGGTGAGGCCTGGCGGTTTCTGGTATGTGGCTGGGTGGCTGCCGCAGTAGTGACATTCTCTGAGGTAGGAACAAGTCGGAGGACAGGGCTGGGAGACCTGGCTTCAGAGCTGGACAGCCTTCCTCTGAGCGGTCTGTGCACAGGGGGAGAGGCGTGCGGAGCAGGGCGCCACCCGTGAGGTGCCCGTCCCTGTCCCTCGGGAGCCAGGCCCTCTCAGAGGAGAGCTTCGTGAGGGAGCGTGAGTGGGGAAGGACTTCGGTGATGGCAGACCTGCACTGCGGATGAGTCACTGGGAAGAAGGGTTCTGGGCAAACCACAGCCAGGAGCAGGGCAGGAAGGAGCCTCGCGGTGGAAGAGTGGGAGCCCATGAGGCGTGCCTGGAGACCGGGGGGCTAGGGGCTAAGCCAGCGTCGGCCCTGGATGGCCGGGCTTGTTCTGAGCGGGGTGCTCTGGCCACGTCCTGGGGACGTGGGCATGGGAGAGGTCGCTTGGGGAGGGTGTGCAGGAGCCAGGGGAGCACTCGATCCTCGCTGGAGGGCAGGAGAAAGGGAAACGGAGAAGACACCAGAGGAGTAGAGAAGGCACGACAGCGTGGGAGGCAGTCACGTGGAATTATTAGGTGGTCAAGGGCCTGGACGGCGGAGAGGGAGAGACAGGAAGACAAGGGGAGACAGACAGACAGGTGGGCTGCAAGTGCGGCCTGCAGTGAACAGCCTGCAGGTGCTGCCCACCTTCCGGGGGCTCCTCACTCTGGCCTGCCTTTTCCCACATCCCGCCCATTCCCAGACTGCAGGGATGGGAGCCACACTGCACAGGACCAAAGTGCTGGGCGGTGTTGGCTGATACAGGGAGAAAGGAGAGGGAGGAGCAGAGAAGCGAAGCTGTGAGCCCCGGAGCCCTGCGTAGGGAGCACTGACAAGAGAACTGCCCCTGACTTGGGCAGCCACACCTGCTACTCAGTGGAAGCTAGGAGGCGAGTCATTCTTTCCGTGAGTGTTGCCACAGAGCACACTGGGATGACGGCAGTGAGTGGTTAGAGGGGGAGGAGGCTGAGAGAAGCCAGGGACCCTCCAAGCCGGGCGTGTGGCGCATCCCTGTACTCCCAGCACTCGGGAGGCTGAGGCAGGAGGATCACTGCGAGTTTGAGACCAGCCGAGGCTCCAAAGTGAGCTCAAGGCCAGCCTGAACTGTATAGTGAGACCCTGTCTCAAAAAAGACGAAAAAAAAGGTGGGGGGGGGACCGTCCTTGAGGTTAACGGGGAAGGGGTAGAGGCAGGGTGCTGATTTATTGTCCACAAGGTGGGCACCTACAGGATGATCCTGCTCAATTCGGCACGGCATCCATGCCCTGCAGCCCTCTTCTGTGGGGGAGCCCGTCTTAAAGCCCCAGACCAAGGCTTCCCTCTGAGAACTGGCCCAGGTAAGCAAGGGGGCCCAGCCTCAGCGTGCTTGGGTGGCTTGCCAGCCCTGAACACACACTGTTCTCCAGCAAACCACGAGCGTGGGTCGACTCATTTCCCATAACTGGCTCCTGCTGGACCCCTGACTGAGATGATTCGGTACCCAGAACAGGGACCTCTGAGTGGAGCACCCACAGGAGGCGGGCCCGTGTGTGTATAGGCGGCAGCCGGTCTTGTATTACTTGATGCGCCTGCTGTTCGCTCTTACATAACTTTTAACCTGTTCAGGCTGTTTTCCCACCCTGTTGTAAACGCCTAGGGCTTAGGCTCCAAGGCTTACTCACCTTTGCTTCTCCTGCAGTGCCCGGATCTGCCAGAGCCTCCACACTCCACACCCCACCCCACCCACACCATTCCCGTTGAGTTTTGTGAAAGTCACAAAAATGGTCCAGTATTTTCTCTGGCTAAAAAGCAGTGCTGTTGCAAAATGGAGTCATTCTTGGGAGCTGGTCTGCAGCTGTTTGCATGTGGCTATTGGCTGAGGGTGTGGTGGCTTTTATAATTGTTGGGGCCCAGCGGGAGGCTGTCTCTAATCTGGGATAGCCAGCTGACTCATCCAGGGCTGGCCCTTTAGATTTCCATCGGCCCCCTTAGGAAAATGGAGAACCGAGGTCCTGGGTTTCCAGGGCACCCGGGCCCTGGCTCGGTGGAACAAAAGAAAAACGGAAAAGACAGAAATAAAAGAAATACTTGGGGATGACCACTTAAATGGGGATGAACTTAACTTCCCAGCAGATACGTTTTATAGAGGGTCCATTTTAGGAATGTGGTTCTCTTCTCCTTGTCCACCCCTAGGTGGCAGTAGGAAGCAGGAATGCCTATCTGAAGGCAAAGCAGTTGTCTCCAGAGGCCCTGTTCTTAAATTGGATCTGAGGGTTCTGTTGCTACCTCTGCCCTACAATTCTATTTGTCCAGCATTCCTAAAATTTCCTTTCCACACCAGCTTAATTCCCATATATGGATTTAAAGAAAGCCTCAGCTGGGGTTTATAGAGTACTATGCAGTTAGCGTTCACAGTTGAGAAAGAAAATCTTAAAACTGGGCCTGGTGGTGCACGCCTGTAATTCCAGCACTGGCAGCTGAGCCAAGGGGATCAAAAGTTCGAGTTCAGCCTGGGCATCTCAGCAAGAATCTCTTTCAAAGTAAAAGATTTTTAAAATAATCTAAAGATGTAGCTCAGTAGTGAAATGCTTGCCTAGCTTGCACAAGGCTTTGAGTTCAATCCCCAGTATCACCAAAAGAAAAACAGGAAAATCTTGATATCATGAAGGGAAATATGGGAACAGCAGAATTGCAGCTTAGATGTTGAGAAAATTGGTGTTTGGCAGGCAGCCTCCTGCTGAGACCTGGCGTGGACAGAGTTGCCTCAGACAAGACACCCAAGTCAGAACAGCTGGAGGAAACAGCCCGGCGTGCTGCTCGCCACCGACTCCTGAAACCCAGTCAGAGATTCATAGTTAGGCTTGTGGCTGGCGACACTGTAGTGACACGCCGTCGATGCTTAGGGTTCACGGGGGGTGGTACTGTAGGAGGAGGATGAAAACGAAGTGTAATGAAAGTCACAAGAGCAGCGTGGTTTACAGGCTGAGTGCAGGCGCGCCCTCTGGCAGTGGCCGTCTCGCCCTGACAGGGGAGATGCCACCTTGTCCCCTCCCCACCCCACTCAGGTTCTCATCACGGAACTCCTGCTCCTGGACGCTCAGGCTGCTTGCTGCTGTGTTGCTTGCGTAGGACATTTGGCTTATGCTGGACCCATGTCCAGATTTGCTCCATTTTCTAGGAGACTAAAGGCCCCTGAAAAGCAGGGTCTACCTTTTTTGTCTTTCTATTGTACAGTCTTGCCCCTGGCACGAGGAGACTCATAATGAGGTTTGTTAAAGATGATGAAGCGGAGAACGACAGCGCCGGGACAGATGTGATTATGTCCCGGTGGAGGACTGCAGCAAGGCGCACCAGGGCGGTGTTTGGGAGCAGGCAGGGGATCAGAAGATGCTAAGTTGAAGGGGAGGAGAGGGGGATAACAGCTGAAAGGCAGAAGCCTGGGAGACCTGTGAAGAACCAGTCCAGCTTTGGAGCCTGCACTAGGCAGAGTTCCTTCAGTTGAAAGGAGGAGAAGCTGGAATAAGCCGGCGGCGTGTACACAGGTATTCATTAGTTCACGTGAGTGGAAAGTCAAGGCAGTGGCTGACCTCAGGTGTGGCCCAGCATCCCACTGATGTCCCAAGAATTTCAGTGTTTCCTCTGGCTCTTTGCTTAGCTCCGTTCCTGAACAAGCTCTCCAGCTAGATAGCATCAGGCTTGTGTCTGCAAGAGAGAGGGCTGCAGGGCCGGGGATACAGCTCAGTGGCACAAGCGCCTGCCTGGCAAGCACAAGGTCCAGAGTTCATTTTTCGGAACCAAAAAAAAAAAAAAAAAAAAAAGGGGGCTGCAGAAGTCCAGGGTCTGACGTATCCAGCCCCCGCTCCGAGCTTGACATGCGATTGTGACCAACCAGACTCAAACCTGGTGGCGGACAGTCCTGTAAGGAGAAGTGAGGTGTGGACCCCAGAGAGCACATAAGCATGCAGGACCCTGGCTTAAGTGGCTGTTGGCTTTTTTCTTTTTTCGTGCAGGGAGTCAAACTCAGGACCTTGCGCTTGCCAGGTAGGTGCTGTGCCTCTGAGCTGTATCCCCAGCCCTTAAGTGGCTGTTGGAAGCAGAGGGAGCCTCACATGTGATGTCTCGTATCCAAGTCTCCCTTTTCAATGTTTTTCAGCATCTTCATGATACAGTGAAAAGGAATCTTGACAGCACCACCTCCCCTCAGAACGGCGAGCAACAAAATGGCTATGGAGACCTCTTTCCTGGGCATAAGAAGACCCGCCGGGAGGCCCCCCTGGGTGTGGCCATGTCTGCCAATGGGCTCCCGCCAGCCTCGCCCCTCAGTCAGCCTGACAAGCCTTCCCCTGGAGAGGCCCTGCAGGCCAGTGGGAAGCACTCCCTGGGGCTGGACTCCATCAACAAAAAGTGTCTGGCCGACCCCAGCCTCCACCTGAACGGAGGCAGTAACGCAGGCGAGTCCTTCGCTCTGAGCCTGAGTAAGGAACTGAAGCAGGAGCCTGTCGATGACTTGCCGTGCATGATTGCTGGAGCTGGAGGCTCCATCTCGCAGAGCAACCTCATGCCCGACCTCAACCTCAACGAGCAGGAGTGGAAGGAGCTCATCGAGGAGCTGAACAGGTCAGTGCCCGACGAAGACATGAAGGACCTGTTTACTGAGGACTTTGAAGAGAAGAAGGACCCAGAGCCTTCTGGTTCCACCACACAAACCCCCTTATCCCAAGACATTAATATTAAGACGGAGTTCTCTCCAGCGGCCTTTGAGCAGGAACAGTTAGGCTCTCCACAAGTGAGGGCCGGGTCTGCAGGACAGACCTTCCTGGGATCTTCATCTGCGTCTGTGAGCACGGATTCCCCCAGCCTCGGGGGCTCTCAGGCCTTGTTCCACACCTCTGCTCAGCCCGGGGCGGACAACCCCAGCCCGAACCTGATGCCGGCATCAGCCCAGGCCCAGAATGCACAGCGAGCTCTCACAGGTGTGGTGTTACCTGGCCAGGGCCCAGGAGGCGCCCCCGAGCTGTCCTCTGCCCACCAGCTCCAGCAGATTGCTGCCAAGCAGAAGCGGGAACAGATGCTCCAGAACCCACCACAGGCCGCCCCAGCCCCGGCCCCAGCCCAGATGCCCACGTGGCAGCAGGCAGGGCCCTCCCACAGCCCCTTAGGTGTCCCTTATCCCGTAGAGAAGCCTGCCAGCCCTGCTGGCTACAAGCAGGACTTCCCCAGCTCCCAGCTGCTCATGATGTCTGGAGTAAACAAGAGTTCCCCTCGGCCCGGAGGTCCCTTCCTCCAGCCTGGCCACGTGAACCTGCTGAGTCACCAGCCGCCGAGTAACTTGAGTCAGAACTCCGTTAGTAACCAAGGATCGGTGCTGGACTATGGCAATACAAAACCCCTTTCTCATTACAAAGCGGACTGTGGGCAAAGTGGCCCCGGGTCTGGCCAAAGCAAGCCAGCCCTGATGGCCTATCTCCCCCAGCAGCTGCCTCATCTGAATAATGAGCAAAACGCCTTGTTTCTAATGAAACCGAAGCCAGGAAACATGCCCTTCCGGTCACTGGTCCCACCCGGCCAGGTAAGCGAGCAGCTCACTTTGCATTGTTCTGCAGACCCTGGTGAAGTTACTTGCTAACTGGAAGTAAATTGGGCCAAGGCAGTTGTGGAACAGAGGGAGGAGGAAGCAGCTACCGTCAGAACGGCGAGCAACAGAAAGGCTGTGGAGACCTCTTTTCTGGGCATAGGACCCGCCGGGAGGCCCCCCCCCCGGGCGTGGCCGTGTCTGCCAGTGGGCTGCCTCCGGCCTCGCCCCTCAGTCAGCCTGAAATGATCTTTTGATTCTTTTGGAGGTGAAAACATTAAATAAATCTGAGTTAATTTTTAATGAAAGTAGGGTATAATTGCCTAGTACGAGTTGATTTTAAACTACGCAAACATTAGAGGAATCACCTGCATTTAATCTAGTGTCTTCCATGCCTCACAATTTAAAGTTGCCTGTGCCTTTTTAAATGAGCACATTTAAGGTATTTTTTAGAAGCTTTGCTTTTTTGCCATCTTTCATATCTTTCAGTCTCTTGAATGAGGTGCAGTGGTGCGTGCCTGTAATCACACGTATTAGGAGGTTTGACTGATAATTGTTATCGGCCTTTTTCCTGTTTTCCGTTGTCCCCTTTTCTTCTGAGTACAAGCAGTGATGTTGAAATAATACAGCAGCCCATGGCGACCCCCGAGGGAGCCATGCTGGTGCTGGCGAGTGTGTGTTCATTTGGGCACTGGGAGGCGGTGTGAGATTTAGTGTCTACCCCGCCTGCTGGAGTTGACTGGAAGCAGAAGCCCCGCTCAGAGGGAGCCTCGAGCAAGCTTTCTCTGCATCAGGCTCACAGGGCCTCGGTAGAACTTAGACACTTCCCATCCCACTGACTGCAGCTCCTTTTGTCTGTGTTGACAGGAGCAGAATCCTGCCAGCGTCCCTGTGCCAGCCCAGGCCACCAGTGTTGGGACCCAGCCGTCTGCTGTGTCCGTGGCCACCACGCACAACAGCGCCCCGTATCTCAGCAGCCAGCAGCAAGCGGCTGTCATGAAGCAGCATCAGTTGCTTTTAGACCAGCAGAAACAGAGGGAGCAGCAGCAGAAGCACTTGCAGCAGCAGCAGCAGCAGCAGCAGCAGCAGCAGCAGTTCCTGCAGAGGCAGCAGCAGCAGCTTCTGGCAGAGCAGGTGAGAGGAAAGGCGGGAGGGACGTGCAGGCCCTGCCTGTGTTTCTGCAGGGCTTTGTCCGCTCGCCCCGAGTGGGAGTGCTTTGGCTCACTTTCTCCCTGGTACTGGAGGTTGGCTCAGGAAGAAGGCCCTGGGTTCTGTCCCCAGTACTGCCAAAAACAAAGAGGAAGACTGAACCCAGGACCTTGCACTGAGTTACATCCCTGATCTCTTTTGTTTGTTTTTTGGTTTTGGTTTTGGTCTTTTTGAGACAGGGTCTCGCCAAGTAATGCAGGCTGATCTTGAACTCCCTTATGCAGCCCAGCCTGGCCTCAAACTTGCAGCTATCCTCCTGCCTCAGCCTCCTCAGTGCTGGGATTACAGAGTGTGCCACCATGCCCCACTTTGTTTTTTTAAGACAGGGTCTTGCTCCGTGGTTCAGGCTGACCTCGAACTCATGGTGATCCTCCTGCTTTGGCCTTGCAAGTGCTGGGGTTACAGACATACATCACCACACAGGGCTTCTGACTCCCTTAATTTTATTTGAAGATGGTGTCACTAAGTTGCCCAGGCTGGCCTCAAATTTGTACTTTTTTTTTTTTGTCTTTTTTGAGACAGGGTCTCCCTATGCAGTTCAGGCTGGCCTTGAGCTCACTTTGTAGCCCAGGCTGGTCTTAAACTCGCAACGATCTTCCTGCCTCAGGCTCGCGAGTGCTGGCCTCAAACTTGTGATCCTCCTGCCTTACTTACGCTGCTAAGTATTTAAGATTACAAGTGTATGCCACTGTGCCTGAACCTATTTTTTAAAAAATAACTACTGTATTAGGATATACTTCATAAAACAGTTTGCCCATTTAAAATGTAGAATTTGAGCCGGGCATGGTGGTGCACGCCTGTAATCCCAGCACTTGGGAGGCTGAAGCAGGAGGATTGCCACAAGTTTGAGGCCAGCCTGGGCTACACGGTGAGTTCAGGACCAGCCTGGACTACACAGCAGTAAGACCCTGTCTCAAATACAATACAGTACAATACAATACAATATGCCAGGTGTGGTGGTGCACACTTATAATCCCAGCACTGGGAGGCTGAGGCAGGAGGATCGTGTGAATTCGAGACCAGCCTGGGCTGCAAAGTAAGCTCAAGGCCAGCCTGAACTGCATAGCAAGACCCTGTCTCAACAACAACAAAAAGGATAGAACAGAGTAGAATTCATTGATGTTTCATATATTTGTAGAGTTGTGCAGCTACCACCACAATCATTTTAGAGCATCATCACCCCAGAACCTGGTACCCGTGAGCCGTCATTCTCCTGTCTCGGCCGCCTCAGCCCCAGGCAGCCTCTGATTACTTTCTGTTTCTATCAGTTTGCCTGTTCTAGGCCTTTCATAGAGGTGTTTTAGGACCCACCCAGGCAGTGCATTCCTTCATGGCTGCATTGCGTTCTTGCGTGTGGATGTGCGTGCTCACCTGTGCTGAACTCCGCAGCTGTTGTGAATGACGCTGCTGTGCGCACCCGAGGACAGGTTTATGTGCGCACGCGTTGTCCTTTTCTCTCTCTTTTTCTAGATTTTTGAAAGTTTTTATATTCTGGTTTTATAAGTGATCATTTTAAATGACATTTTGGGGGGGCCAAGGGTGTAGCTCAGTGGTGCAAGTGCCTACCTGGCAAGCACAAGGTCCTGAGTTTGATTCCCGGTACCAAAAAAAAAACAAAAAAAAGACATTTTTCTGTAAGAATGTAAAATGCAAGCATTTGCCAAATACCCGATCTATGAAAATCCTTAGAAAGGTTTGTGTTTTCATTTTTTTTGAGTGGTATACCTGGGAGTGGAATTGCTGAGTCATATGGTGACTTTTATGTCTCACCTTGAGGAACTGTTAGGCTCTGTCCACAGACAGCAGCTACACCAGGTTATATTCCCACCCACTAGAGTACTTGCTGCATCCTCGCTGGTGTCTATCACCTTTTTACTTTGTTTTTTCTTTTGCAGTGCTGAGAACTGGCCCCAGGGCCTTGTGCATGCTAATCAAGTGCTGTACCATAAGCTGCATCTTTGTGTTTTTTATTCCAGCCATCCTAGTGAGTGTGAAGTAGTATCTATCTCACTGTGGCTTTGATTTGCTTTTCCTTGATCTGCCCTCTTTATTTTCCTTTTCCTTTTCTTTTTTTTTTTTTTTTCTTTTCTTTTTTGCAGTAATTGAAGCTCAGTAACACAGAGTTACATTCCCAACTTTTTTTTTTAATTCTTAGTCAGGGTTGCTCACTAAGTTGCCAGTTTGCCCATGCTGGGCTATAACTTGCCTTCTTCCTGCCTCAGCCTCCCCTAGTGCTAGAATTACAAGCATGTACCACCATGTCTGGCTGCTCTCCCATATTTTAAAAACTAATACACCTCCTTTTTTTTTTAATTCAATGCTCGTTAGATTTACCCTGTCCTTGTTCCACACTATTTATTAAAATACCCAAAATGAGATCACCAGCATTATTTCCGTGGGCGTTCTGTGTGAGTAGCAGGCTTGGACACTGCTCTTCCCCAGCCTGACGCTGCTGGGTTACCTTTGTCTCAGTCTCACGTGGTTTAATGTCTTGTTGGTCTTGACATCCTCTAGGAGAAGCAGCAATATCAGCGCCATCTGACCCGCCCGCCCCCCCAGTACCAAGACCCAACACCAAGCTCCTTCCCACCGCAAGTGGGCCAGTTCACAGGTAAGGGGGAGGGGCTGGTCCCTTTCCAGCGGTGGATGGAGTTCTGCTCCCTCTCTCTCTGTGCTGGGTACACAATGGATTTACAGGCTGTGAGAAGTCTTGGTCTGTTGGAGGAACCTGGCTACAGATTACCCTGTAGCACAGGGAAAATAAGGTCGCAGGCACACTGCTACCAGTGCTTTGGCTATGTCCCTGGCTATGCAATCCTTTGAGGCAAAGTACTTTATATTTCTGGTTGAAGGCTATCTTAGTAACAGGAAATGGCTTCTCTCATTCGTAAAGATTTTTGGTTCATCTTTTTGTGACTCTGCCCAAGAAAAAAACAAAAAAAAAACCAAAAACCTCTCAACTGTGTGTGGTGGTACACACCTGTAATCCTAGCACTCTGGGAGGCTGAGGCAGGAGGACTGTAAGTTTGAGGCCAGCCTAGGCAATTTAGTGAGACCCCATCTCAAAATTAAAAAGTCTGAGGATATTGCCCAGTATGAAGGCCCTGGGTTAAACCCCCAGGACCAGAATAGTCAAAAACAAAACCCTGTCAGCCAGGTGCAATGGTGCACACCAGTAATCTCAGCTACTGGAGGCTCAGGCAGGAGGATTGGTTGAGGCTAAAAATTTGGGGCCAGCCTGGGAAACACAGCAACACCTTGTTTCTTCAAAACTAAAGCCAGGCATGGTGAGAGGCTAAGGAAGGTGAGTTGCCACAAGTTTGAAGCCAGCCTGAAGTATATAATAAGACTCTGTCTCAGTCAATGAAGTAACCTTTATTTTTTTGCTGGGGAAGGGTCAAGGTGGTTTTTTTTTTTTTTAGACAAGGTCTCACTATGTAGTTCAGGGCTGACCTTGAACTCACCATGTAGCCCAGGTTGGCTTTGAACCCAGAGCAATCCTCCTGCCTCAGCCTCCCAAGTGCTGGGATTACAGGCATGTGCTAGTCACCATACCCGGTGTAAACTTTATTTTTTGGATAAGGTGAGACTCAGTGGACTTTATAAGGTCTTTGGATTCTTTTG